GAATCAAATTAGCATACTTGTTCAACCTGTCAACCACCACCAGAATCACTGTGAACCCCTCAAATCGAGGCAGTCCATCTGTGAAATTCATGGTGACTTCCTCCCACACTATCTGGAAGAGCCATGGGTTGAAGTGATCCCTCATGAGCCATAGCCATGTACTTGTTTTTGGCATATCTCACACCTAGCGACCATATTCTCCACATTCATATGCATCCCTTTCCAATACACTTCCGCTACCAACCTGTTGTTTTTCTTTTGCACACCAGAATGACCCCCAACAACGCTCCCATGGAACTCCTGTAGCAGAATCAGAATATGAACCGAGGTCCCCAATCTCATCTCTTAGTAGATCCATGATGATCTTCCTCAGCTCCTCAATTTGCATAGTCTCATCTTTGATCGCTCCCCAATCTTCCATCAATGATATCGAAATGGCCATCCCTTGGAGCTCCCACATGCATTTGGATAAAGCGTCAACGACCACTTTATTCTCTAATCCTAGCTTGTACTGGATTTCAAAGTTATAGCCCAACAGTTTGGATAGCCACCTCTGGTGCTCCTGAGTCACCATCCTTGGTTTTAACAAATACTTCAAACTCCTCTGATTTATACTAATAATAAAATGTCGGCCCAATAAGTAAGGCAACAACTTCTGAATGGCTAACACAATGGTCAGCAATTTCATCTCATAGACTGACTTCAGCCTAACTCTGGCTGTTAATACTTCTGATAAGTTGGGTTCGTGGTTTTACTTCTTATCTCTTCCTCTTCCTCCTCCAATCCCCACTGCCGGCCCTTCCTTGGTCCCTCCCTCCTTCCCCCACTGAAACAGATTTGGTCTTGACAATCTAAATAATACCTCAGGTCTGTTGGAGGAAATATTCTTCCAAGAGATTGAAAGCAGAAAAAAATTAAAATCATTCTTGGTGTGGCAGATATACATCACTACATCTGATCCCTGCTTTATTTCTCCCTCTTAACTGAACTTTTTCTGTGCATATTTTTTGTTCTTCTTGGAAATTATATTCAAACATTGCAGCAATATGAATATTTGTACATCAGAAGGTTCCAGAGTTTTTATATTTCATGATTTTTTTTAGGGTCTTCACTCAGCTGAAAAATCTAAGACAAAGACAGCAAGGTCTGCGGAAATCAATGCTTCCAAGGCTGGGCAGCAGTCTTCATCCCAGCTATTAATTCATTCCGTCCCTCCTGCCGTTAGATCTGATGTTTACAAGATATCCCAGCCTGGGAATTTCCAAGTGCTAAATAGGGAAACGCATAGTTTGTCTCCTGGGAAGGATATCCCAAAACCAGGAAATGTCAGCAGAGGTCCAACCACTCCTGCCACAATTCAACCTCCAAAAGGTTCAATGAACCCCAAACTTAAAGTTGATGGCAAGGGTGGTGCTTTGAGTCCGAGAAAACTCTCTTCTCAGGTTCAAAATCGAAATGATTTCTTCAATTCCCTAAGAAAGAAATCATCTTCTGGCCAACAACACTCAAATGCTAATAATGTCTTGAATAGTGATACGTCATCATTCATCTTATTAGAGAAGGTGGGCGTGCAGTTTGCCGTTGATTCTACTCCTGCTAAAAACAAAAATGTCTTTTATTGTTCAGTAGAGAATGGGAATTGTTCTGCTGTAGATTGTGATGTCTTTGAGGAGCCTGAGAAATTAGCTCCCGGTGAGGAAGAAGAAGCCTTTCTACGATCACTGGGATGGGAGGAGAATGCTGGTGTAGAAGCTCTGACACATGAGGAGATTGAATCTTTTCTATCAGTGGTAATCATTTTGTCTGCGATAATAATATATATTCTCTTTGCGTTTGGTTTTTCATTTTTGTTTGGAACTGAGATTGTTGACCTTTTGATTTGCAGTATAAAATGCGGAGGCCTGCTTCATAGTTGAACATATAGCTGGAAGTTCTTTTCCGAAGGTAAATGGTTGTTTTCCTTAACCTACCATAGCTGTTTTTCCCCCTCTTGTTTAAGAAAAGAATGTGAAAAATGGAAAATAACATGCAGTGTTCATTCTCTGCCTTTTTTTTCCTTTTCTTTTGGTGCATAGAATGGCAGAAAAGCAAGTTGGATTATAGGTTCAGAATAAAAAAAATGCACAGTAATGAAGTCCATTTTATCGGATCTTTTATGTTTTTAGTTTATTATTTTATCAGTTTCAAATTTTTGGTGTTGGTTTTGGTTATTTTTATGGCAGCTGTTTACTCTGCTGCTTTTGACATACAATATGGATCATCACTTAACTTGGCTTGGTTTCGGAAGTTGGACCTGAAAGAAAGTATTCTTTCTAAAACTACTTCTCGCACAAGCACTTCAAAATGCTTGGTATTATTTCATTAGAAACAGGAGTTTGTATCCGTTGTCGAATAGAACACTTCATTTGGATTTAGTATTGTAAATTAGTTTATGAGGAAACTGAAGATGAAAAGGAGTGTATCACTCATGTCCAGTGAAGATACAAACTTGAAGAACATAAATATTGGGATTTAACTAAATAATTAGGATTTCATACCAAGTTGAAGAGATGAGAACAAAGCTTGGCAAGAGAAAACCGTGGATCAAAACATCTTTCCAAATTTGACTCTCTAATATTTGGAATGTTACAAGAGATCTTATCGAAAAAATGAAAACCTTTTCCAGGTCCTTTAGTCAATTGAGAATCATAAGAATGTTTGTAAAGGGTTACTCAAATACTTGTTGTTAATGATGTTACTAGATAAGGATTTTGAGTCCACAGAATAGGAGTTGAACCATGCATTTCTTTTGGTGTATGTTACTGACTTATTACTGAAGGATTTGAATTGCACACTAACTAGATCTAGACAAATCTTATTTTTTTGGGACATTTAGGCCAATGAAGACAAACTCTTATTTCATTTCGGCCAATCTAGACAAATCTTATTAAGTTTGGAGTAGTAGCTTCAATGGAAGTTAAGATTAGTAACAGTCGTCTTAGATGGTTTAGTCACATAAAATTGCGACCTTCCGATGACCTGGTTAGTAAAGTAGATGTATTAGATTTGAGTCATTTGACTTATGTTAAGAAAGGTAGAGGTTGACATTAGATGATTACGAATGACTTTTATTTATTAGATTTAAATGAGAAGTTAACTCTTTATATAACACAATGGAGAAAAATGATTCATGTAATTGATCCCACATAGTTGGATATAGGATTGATGATGATGAAGTTGTTGTTTTTGTTATGAAAAAATGATATAAGATCAATATTTGTTTGGTACATATAATATTGTCACGACGGACAAAATATAATATTTGAACATGCAGATTTTTGTGGTTTGAGAAGAATGGCGGTTTAGATTTACAAGGCGACCTAAAAAAAAAAAGGCACGTTCGCTTTGTCTCCAGGCAATTGAGAAGACAAAAGCTGAATGGATTATTCATTTACTTATTTATTGGAATGTTGAGTTTAAGCACAAATTTTCGTAGGGAGGTTGGCTGAATTTTTCTGACGAGCGAGATCATCGATGCATGCCATTTTTTATCTAATATTTATTTAAAAAAACTTATGCAAGATCTGTTTACATATAATACGCATTGCAATATCACATATGCAGCTTGTTTTGATCTATTGGTTGGGAGTTTTAGTTACCAACTAAAAAGTTTTGAGTTCGAGTCTTGTGTATGTTATGTGTATGAGTTTATTTTAATTGATCTAAATATTCCTCTAAATACTATTCTATATAAAATATAAGTAAAAGAAAAAGAAAAAGAAAAATATGATTGACACAGCTATTCTATGTCATCTTAGGGGTGTCAATTTCGGGTCATGGATCGGGTTCGGGTCGAACCTGGAACTGACACGACATTAATCGGGTCAACCCTAACCCGACCCATTTTTGCAAACGGGTCGATTTTCTGGACCCGAACCCGACTCTCTTCAGGTTCGGGTCAACTCGAAACGACTTGTTTCAGCCAAATCCTTGCCTCCATTCAAAAATTTCGCCACATCCATTCAGCAGCGGTAGCGGGAAGCCAGCGTTCAGCAGCAGGCAGGAGGGGCAGGCTACACGAGATAGATGGGGCCACGCGGTCGTGAGTCACGCATGTTTGGGCAGGCGGGCAGGCAGGTTACGAGTCAGGGTTGGGTCGAACCCAAAATTGACCCGGCACTATTCGGGTTCGAGTTGACCCGACCTGTTTTTGCAAACTGGTCAATTTTCTAGACCTGAACCCGACCCGCCCCAACTCGACCCGCGGACACGGCCATATGAGAAACTGACGCGGGGCGGTGACGCAGTGCGGGACGCGGATCTCGTTGCGCAGTTGTGAGTGCAGGACGACGGGCACGCGAGTGCGCGATGCGGGGCTGACGCCAATAATATACGTGGGACACGGAACTAACGCTAGACGTGACGCGACACTGACCTCGGGACGGGATGCTACGCAACGTGGCCGGGGTAGCCGAGCAGGCGGTCGCGGGGCAGTCAGGGCAGCTGGGTTTATGTGTTATTCTGGGTCATTTTTGGTCATTCCCGGGCTTTCAGGTCAATCCGATCCAGACCCGATTTTGCAAACGAGTCATTTTTCTGGACACGAACCCGACCTGCTTCGGGTTCGGGTCAACCCAAACCCAAAATTTTCGGGTCGGGTCCAATATTGACAGGTCTAGCAGCGGGTCACGTGAGTTCGGGCAGATGCGGAGTCACAGACCATGCGGTTGCACGTGTCAGCGAGGCAGCGAAGTGCGGGGGCAGGTGGGCAAGTTGCGCGGCTCAATGCACTCGGGCAGCCGGGGCAGGTGGGCATGCGGGTTTTTCCGGGTCATGTCGGGTTTTCGGGTAAACCTAAACTCGATCCGGTTTTGTAAATGGGTCAGTTTTTCGGACCTGAACCCGACCCACTTCGGATTCGGGTCAACCCAAACCCGAAATTTTCGGGTCGGGTTCGGATCGGGTTTTCAGGTCGGGTCCAATATTAACACCCCCTATGTCATCTCACTCTATCTCTCATTTTATTCCCTTTTCTTTTCCTCATCTTTTTGTCATGCTTTTGTCCAGACCCAGTTGAGAGTTTTAAGGAGTTTGGGTAAAAACCTCAAACGATTGAAATAAATTGAAATTGTCCGCAAATAATTAAACTTACTTAAACTTAAAATATTAGTTAAATTTAATTGTTAGTTTATTATAAGTTTATTTTAATGCTGTATTATAATACTGTATCTGTGGTTATAAATTACAATCTGAAATAAGAAAAGTGAAATAATTAACTCTAAATTAAGGGTTTCTTAAATACAAGAATTTAAAAGGTAAGCTCCATAATACATGTTTTTTTATCTTTGAAAATTTAGAGGGTCAGGAACCTCCAGCTGCCCTCTCTCTCAGATTTTTGCCATTGTTCATATGAGTCTTAGAACAAAAAACCTGTCAACTAGTCACTTAGCCTCTCCCTCCTTTAAACTCCCTCCATTAAAATACTACATATTATCTACTTCATTTAATTAAAAACAAAAGTTATTAAGGGTGTGAACGGTATACTTAGCAGTTAGCCCTCATTAAGATAGAAACTTAAAAAATAATAATACCTGCAAGTCTTTGTAGCTCCATGATTGAGGGCCTTAGCTCCTATCATAAAAGCTGAAGTTTAAGTTCATTAACTATCAGCTTTCGCTCAACGTTCTTACAAAAGTCATTGAAATATTATTGCAATGCCCTTTAAAAGTCATTATCATCCTCCTAAACAAGCAATTAAAATTCAATTTGAAAGCTGAAGTCATTTGTGTAATTAACAAAATAACATAAAAAATACGAAATGCTATGTATTACTTAATTTTATTCTTTCATATCAATATTAAAATGACAATTTAGCAAATAAAAAAAAAAACAAATTCACTTATTTTTAATTTACATTAAAAAATAAAGAGTCCAATTAGCTATTTTCAGCTTGAATACAATAGCATTATCAGTAAAACACTGAAGCTTAGGCAGCAAAAAGGTTAAGCAAAGAATAATTCCAGCGGCGCTGATGCGAACTCTCAAAGAACAGAGAGATTCCAGAATGCCTATTCTGAGCATCAGCTTTGTGGATGAATATAAATATGAATGAAGAGATCTGTCGGAGCATTAAAAAAAAAATCAAATATTTGGAAACGGAAACTATAGAGTAAGGACAGTACAAAAAAGTTGTAAAAGCAAGCAAAAAGCACCTATTGGTCTAGATTTTCACAGGCCTCCTGACAAAAGGATGATCTAATAGCTGAGCAGCAGTGGGCCTAGAATTTGGATCCACCTGAACACATTGCCTGATAAAATCTTGTGCTTCTTTGGATAGGTGAGTGGGGATAGGAGGTTGATCACCGCGACCAATTTTGAAGAAGGCATGTTGCTGCAGAAAAGGAGATGTTTAACAAGTACACTATAAACAAGCAGCTTTTTGTACTCAAAACTTCACCAGAAATGATATGTAGGGTTACAAATTTATCAAAAATAAAAACGAACAACACATAACAAAGCATGCAAATTCTTGATTTTCAGTACGCTGCAGACTTTTTTGTTGCTTCTTAAAACAGTTTTTTAGTATAAAAATAATTTTTATACTAAAAAGCTGTTTTAAGAAGCAATAAAAAAGTTGTCCTAAATGAGGTCTTAAACACTGCAATCATGCTAACCATGCCATTTATACTTTTTTTTTTTACTTTACAGACTCAACTTTTGACATTTATTCAACACATTATGAGCATGGATAGAAAAAGTGTTGAACATAAATTGGGTTGAGCCTAGTCCCATTTTTATCCTGATTATAAACAAATAAATCGTATTTGATTTCAAGTTTACTATTATTCTATCATTTGCTAGTGTTCTCACTCTTTACGTTTTCCAAAATTCTGTGTTTTGCCATCTAATATATAGTTTCATGTTATGTGCTACAAGTCATCAAACATATAAAGATGATTATGAAGCTGTTGTGATAGGAATAATTTTTTTGAAAGCTGCTATGAGTATTTATAACCTTCTTTTTTTAAAAGTCTTAACAATAATTTTAATACAGCTCCCGCACATTAGAAGATCTGATTGCAAAAAGTAACTTCTCATCACAAAATATTTAGAAAGCAGTAAGAAAATAAGAAGAAAATAATAATCAAATGAAAAAATGATTGTATTCTAAAAAAACAAAACAGTCTAAAAAATTGCCTCAAACAAAACTTGTAACTATATATTAAATTCAACACAAATCTAATTTGAAGTCAAATATTGGCATTCAAAGTGGGTTGCATGGCTTGGATACGATAATTGCACGTTCACATTAACAAGCTAATTGGATAAAGCTTGAATTCCCTGCGAAGCACAGTTGGCAATCACTTACTAGAAACAAATAAGGAACTAATGAGACGGATTCATTTATGCGGATCAGCAGATGTGATGGATGAAAGCAGTCACTTTTCTCGAAGCAATCTATCGAGTGATGACTCTGGAGTTGATTTCTAGTAGTATAATGAGTAACCGTTGAGACTGCTTTATTTCTTGAACCTAAAAAACTACCACCGACACCGTTGAAATGGTAGAAGAGCATTACTGGATTGTAATCACTAAGGCCGGCCTGAATCTAGCCTACTAAGGTCGGCGATATGAATACTTTTTTTTCTATTGTATCCTATTAAGAGTCAATTTTTCATTTAAATGTAGTAAAAAAAATGTTATTTCTAATGTTTTCTAATCAAATATTTTTAGATCTACCTCTACCTTTCAAAACATAGGTCAAATCTAATACATCTACTCTCTTAATCGGAAGGTCGGCGTTTTAAGTGACCAAACCATCTAAGGCGACTCTCTTTAATCTTATCTACCACTAGAGCTACTCAACCTTTTCACGTATATACTCGTCTCACATTTTGTTTCTAAGAGTAAAGCCACTCATCCACCTAAGCATCTTCATCTCTGCAACACTTAATTTTACACCATAAAGCATTGCAGGTCTTACCACCATCATATAGAATTTTCACTTAAGAGGGATAACTTTTCTCACACAATAGGCCGATGCATTCCTCTACTTCAATCATCCAACTTGAATATGGCCCATAGCCTCCTATAAATAATGTAAAAATTCAATCCTACCCATCTAAAGAAAAAAGTTAGGAGAGACGTAGCTTATATTTGTTTAATTGCAAAGCATGAACTCTTTGAATCCCTAGAGAATTATAAGTGTTCCGTCAAATTTGACAACTAAACAATTATAGCGACAACTACAAAGGGTTGCTTAAATTTAACATAGAAATTAATAACTCTATAATAAACTTTACAAGCTCAAAAGTATGTTATGCAGGGAGTTTTTCCAAAGAAGAGGGAAAGAGAGAGATTAGCATCACAAACTGAATGAAACTTCACTCTAAAAATAAACATACATTTAAAAAGTGAATAGAACATCTACTCACCCACTCCACGTTTGGATAAGGTATTTCTCGTGTTAACATCTCTAGAACAGTGCAACCCAAGCTCCATATATCAGCTGCGCGCCCATATGTCTTCTTAGGATGGACAACCTGGAAAGAATTTTAGCAATGAATGATATTTGTTAAACAACTTGAACTTGAAACCTCATTTCACGCTTAGGCTGGCTTTGAAATAAAACAAATTCCATGAAACTAATTGATGTAGGCAGTTTTACAAAAGTTATGTTGTGTCTTTCTATTTAAAGTTGTACGTTATGTTTTCATGAGATAAAAGAAGTATTTAGTATATGTCGTGGTTCAAAAATATTTTGGGTTGTAATTTTGGTGAGCTTCTATGTCCTCAACTAAAATCAGCTCATTAATGCTTGAGTTGTTGTGTTTTCAGCTCATTATGTTGGGTAGTTCTCCTTTTTAGCTCATTATGAGGAGAGTCTCTTGCTCTTTCCCCTTCCCTGTAGCCCTTCAGTTTCCCCCTCCTGGTTCTTCTTACCATGGTTGTTCCTTCCCCCATTGTGGTTGTCTATTCCAGTTCTCCTTGTGGCTGCCCGTTCCTTCCTCTTTGGATGTCTGTTCCGTTCCCTTTGGCTGCCTATTCCGTTCCTTCCCCTTTTTGGATGCCTTTTCCGATTTTCTGTGTGGTTGTTCGGATTCTGTTTGTGGACTGAAAGCTGGCCCCCTTTGTGGCTCTTTGGGTGCTGTTCCTTGACAGCCCCTTGGCCTTCTATTTATCCTATTTTGATTAGTGTAATTGAGTATGTTTTGGCTGTTTAGCTGCCTCATTTTCCCTATATATATTAGATGTTTTGATGATATAAGAGAGAGATTTTTAAGTAATTTTTTGGAAGCCAAAACCTGCGGGTTTTCTTGGAAAAGCATGTGAGCTTGTTCCATCCCTTCTCCTTCTCCTATGAAAGCTTGCGAGCTTATCCTCTCCTTCGTCTCGGCTTCTAACCTCTTTCCTCTCAAGCGATGGAAATGCAAGTTTAGGATTTTATTTCAGAAGTTTGTAGTGTCATTTCAAGTTATCAAAGTAATGTTTTGTTTTACAAAATTTATGTTGTGTCTTTCTATTTAAAGTTGTACGTTATGTTTTTATGAGATAAAAGAACTATTTAGTATATGTCGTGGTCTCCAATTTGTTGTGGACACTTAGTTTAGTTTTTATTTTATTTCTTTTTTGTGACCAAGGGTTCTCCTACTTATTTTGAGAACTTTTGGTTGCATCACTAATTCAATCTAGATGATCCAGTGGGAAATAACCCCAAGAAGCTACTCAATGCATGCTTGGCTCAAACCTGGCTTTAAGATGAACAACAAATAATCTTCGTGTACCAAGGAATAAAAATAAGTTCCAGAATAAAGCCTATTTTAGCCTGCCATGGTTTTATATGAATGATAACAATCCCGAAAAAAATAATAAAAAATATCTATTAATTCCATTTCCGTAATTGTTATTTGAAATTAGATAAGTGATAAAAGTCATCTTCAGGTAATGGGTTCCAATCACAGAAACAATCTCTTTATATTGTGTGGGGTTAAGGTTTTATACATCAATCCTTCTCCACATCTTGCTGTGGTAAGAGTTTCATGCACTGGATACACCCCTTATTTAACCAGATCATCAAATTATGCAAAAATGCCTTGCCGCTCACATCTTATATGCTACATCAAATCACATAAACAGACTGCCCTCAAACAACAAAAGAAAAACCTTTTCAGAAGGTGTCATTCCTCCTAAAACATGGTTAGAAGAAATTCTGTAACACACAATACCATATTTTAAGAAAATTGACTTATCCCTAATAAAATAAAGGCAATATTGTTATAGCAGGAGATCATGAATTATCCGCTCTATGATTTTATAATTAATATGGAGATAAGACTAACCTCTGGAGCCATCCAGTATACACTTCCTTTACTAGATTTCAGATAATTGAAGCTGGATATCTGGCATAATAAACAGCAATTGTAAGAATAAATTTAATTAGTGATAATCAAGCTTTTTAAATAAGGACAAGCAGAAATTATACCTCCTTAGCTAATCCAAAATCTGCGAGTTTCACAGAGCCATTTGCATGAACCAATATATTGGCACATTTGATATCTCTGTTAAAAAAAAAAGGAAACTACATTAGCAATAAATGAGAAGATATGATAGCTTCCTTGTATCAAATAAAAATATCATCACCATCATTAGCATTAACCTAACTATTTGTGGTTGGCATATCAGTGATAAATAACACAAACCAAAAACAAAGTAACAGTATTAAATTGAATATCTAACAGCCATATAGTTTTAGAGTAAGGAGCTGATAAACTTGCATGTTCTATGTTGCTTTTTAATGGAACAGATAAGTTTCTCTAGTTACTAACAAGCTGCCGGAAGAGAAGTATTAACAGAATGGAACTGTATAAAGTTTCAGCATATTCACTAGATGAATCACCACTATCTTATAAAGTCTCAGGCTCTAGCATCCAGGCCTGAGAGGAACAATACTGAGCTCGCCAGAATTATGGTCTGGGCCAATTGATGAACCGCCTGGCTTGGCCAAGCATTTGAAAATCCATCTAGTCCTCCCTCATAAAAACAGAACTCCAAGGATAAATGTTTTTGTTCCTTAAATAAATATATTCTATGTAAAATATGTTGCATTAAATTAATAATGTCATGAATATATTTTCCTTATAGATTAAAGGCATAATCTGATATAAAAAGCCTACGATGAAGCAGGCGGACATGAGCTTATGTTGCAACAGGACTTCGCTAGAAATTACAAGCCAAAAAGTTATGTTAGTTGGCTCAGAAAACGCCAGCCATATCCTTTCCAATTAATAAAGGCACCTGACTCGACTACCTTGTTAGGTGTGGTTGAGAGATTATGAAATTAAATCTAGTATGGAGTTGATAACGAGCCAAAATATTATACCTATGATGCACCAACACTTCTCCTAAAAGAGGCGCACAGTGTCCGACACGACACGCATCCGACACTCTTTCGACACGTGTCGGACACGTCAAAACGTGTCCGATTAAAAAAATATTAAATACAAGTTGGGCGCGCGTGTCCAACACACGAATCTTAAATATTTTATGATTTTTTTTTTATATATATTTTCTTGTATTTAAAATTTTTACTTATTTAAAATATAAAAAATAAATTTCTTATTTTCTATTCATCGAATATTCTTATTTTCATTTCTCTTTGACAATGAAGGTATTTTCATCTACTCTCTCGATGAATGATAAACGACATCGACGCCTGACTCTCGACATCCTAATATTAATCATTTTAAGCACAAATTCTAGTCAAATGACTTATTATTTCTAAATTATTTTTACAATTATACTTATTTAATTTTTATATATTATTTTTAAAATATAAAAACTATAATACTGTGTTCAACCCGTGTCCGTGTCCGTGTCCTATATTTTTAATAATTGACGTCCCATATCCGTGTCGTATCATATCCGTGTCGTGTCATATCCGTGTCGCCGTGTCCGTATTTGTGCATCATAGTATTATACCAATTGGCTCAGAAAAGCACAGGTATATCCTGCCATTTTATAAGGCACCTCACTCGACTTCCTTTTGAGGTTTAGTTAGAGATTATGAACTTAAATCTACTATGGAGTTGTTATATTGGCATCAAACTTGGGGTACTTATAAAAAATGTCATTTAACTGAGGGCATTTCAAAAGATTGTTAATTTGTTATTCTAATCTATCTCTGGAAGTAGAAAAATACTCATGGGTTTCAACAAGCTTGAACCAGTAAAATTCGAAATAAGCTCTTCTTATTTTACTGTGAATATCACATTGCATCTTGAATCCTATATATTCCAAAAAATATTCTTAAAATTGCATGAAGTTTAAAGGATAGATCTACTGAGATTGTTGAGTTCCAATACCTCAAAAAAGTATCACGAAATTCCAAAAAATATCATAGAAGAATCTTAAACGATAAATAAATATCAAGGCATGAACTGACCTGTGCACCACATTCCGCTCATGAAGGTAATGTAAGCCATTTAGGATCTGCCTAGTATACGCTGAGACTTGTGTATCACGCAACCTATACTTTTGATAAAGAGAAGCCAGAGAACCTTGTGTCACAAGTTCGAGGAAGATAAATAGTTTTGATTCTTCCTGCATAACACAATATTCCAAACAAAATCATATATTATAGAATGGTCTCATAATAAAACAAACAGAAACAAGCATGCATTAATAGAAAAATTGCAAATAGTCAGCAAATCATATTACAGCTGCCAAAATTATTATTTGTGCAGCCAAAAGGGCCTTTCTTTTTGTTGTCTAAAGGTAAAGTTCTTCAAAATGATTTTTAAATCAGCATTATGGAAGCTTCCTGTGAATCACGTTAGCAAATTGTAGGCCCACAAACATACATGACTGCCAACTAAAGAAAAAAAATCCAAGTAGTGCTGAGAATTATTAGCAGAATTTTATAATGACCATGTACTGAAATTATGGATGAAGATAATACGCACGTAACCTTTCTATTCCGATGGCTTCTAAAAACAAATAAATAATAAGTAAAAGACACTAAACTTCATCACTGGTTATGATATGTACCGCTGAACTTCAAAATGTCTACAAGAATGCAATCAACAGAGAGACCCAAGGAGATTTCTGAAAAGTATTAAGGATACTCGATGAAATAGTGATATGAGAGTACCTTTTCCGTTCCATAATATTGAACAATATTTTCATGCTCAAATTGACTTAAAAGTGCAATCTCCTGTAGAACAAATTGAAAATAACAGAGGATGGTTATCATAAAGTGCACATACAGTGGAAAAAAAAGCAAGCTTTCTATTGATGCAAGAGGCGGATAAAATCTATAGCCATCCAAATTGGAAGAGAATGTGAGAAGGCAAGCGTGGAAAAATAAATTAGTAGCACGGGTTTATCTCACCTGTTCGAGTTGGAGAATACATTGTTGAGCACAGCTTCCCTTTTCAAGCAAAGATACCTCTTTAACAGCAAAAAATCTACCATCACTGCAAAAGTAGGCTTAATAAGAGATATTTGAAGAAAAAACAGGAATGTATTCCCAAAAAATTCAAAACAAAATAGGATTATTCAGTATTTAAGTTCCTGAGAAGAGCTGAGAGGAGCAATTAGACAGGCAACCAACCTCAACTAAGTCAAAATCATAAAATGTATCAAACATCAGATGTGAAGGCATTATATCTATTGACATGATGCCCTGAAGAAAAATTTAAGACTAAACAGTTATAGATAAGGACGACTCAGCACCCAAACTTCCATTCGACCAGCAATAAGTTTCAAAACAAAAAAGACTTCCAATGCGATTAAAATGAGCTTCCTAAGCTTCTCTGTCCATTTCTATACAACACCAAGCCTTTATCCCACTATGTGGGGTGACCCCTACATAAATCATTTTTCTCCATTGTGCCCTACTAAGAGTCAAATTCTCATTTAAATCTAATAAAGAAATGTCATTTCTAATATTTTCTAACCAAGTCTTCTTAGGTCTACCTCTACCTTTTTCAACATAAGTCATATCTAATGCATCTACTCTCCTAACCGGGTCATCAAAAGGCCACCGTTTTATGTGACCAAACCATCTAATAAAGAAGGGTCATTTCAATTTCTATGTTCTTTGAAAAACCTAAAATGCTCCAACATACATATCTTGGATCAGGGAATGATGACAATGAAAAAAATTCTTTTTGTACAAAATAGGAATGAACATATTACCTTTAGATATGTATAGTGACTCAAAATCAAAAGAAAATTGACGCCACCAAGGCAATGCTACTTGTTTCACTAATCATGTGCCCATGGGAAAATATTTGATCACAAAATGGCAAGTTAAATGTCATTCATTAGGCTTATCAAAAAAATATGCATGTTTAAAATGGCATGAATAACTTAAGTGATAACAAATATGTTGATAACCATCTGAGTGGTTAAACAATTTAGACATCTAAGCCCTCCATGGAAATTGGGAAAATAAGAGAAAGTTGGCAATTCCATTTTATTATCATTAGACGCTACAACCTTATCATACAAAATTTTCCCTAATTTTACTTCAGCAAATTGACCAAAACCAAAGAAAATTTATACATTTACAAAACATTGCTTTGTTAACCTTGTCCCAATTATTAGGGGTTAGTTTTACAAATGCCCAATTTATATTCATTTTTGTTGAGTGTTATTTGATATGATATAAAAAAGTTGAGCGTTTAAGTTTTTTCGCTAAACGCTCAACTTAAATAAAGCAAGATTAAATTTTAAGGGGAAAAAATAGATGGTAAGAGAAGTAACTAGGTGTATCCTTACTCGCTGATTCCTTCGTACACTGTCCCAAATGAACCGCTCCCAAGAAGCTGCCCCCGCATCCAAGATCCAATAATTTTCTTAAGCCGTTCAATCGGAGAAATTATAAACATCGATTCCGTAGTGGTGCTGGACGAATCATCGTCATTAGAAGTCGAGAACGATCCCGTGCAATCCTCCGACGTCTCCCCTAAAATCACACACAAATCTTCCACGATTTCCCTAGCTTCTCCACCGCCTACCCTTTCCTTTCCGTCTTCATCGGCCTTCTCATCCAAGTCAAAAGAGCTCCTCTTATTTCCATCATCACTCTCGTCAGTCGGAGCAAACGATCTCAATATGTCGCACGTGGAGGTCGTTCTTTCAGGAACAGATTGTTTCATAAAAGGCGGCGGCGCAAGGACCGACCTACCCGGCGGAGGGACAAGCACGGAAATCGGTGCCAGAGGAGTAGCAAGGGCCGGCGGTCTAGTGCCCTTAATTCCTCCAACTCCAACGCCGCTTCCGCAACCAAACGAAGGAGATAACTTCGACGGCTCGTCATCTTCCACCTTAATTCCCGCCCTAGGCTTCTCTCCCTCGGCTAGACTAAACGAGGTGGGAGGCGAATTCTGCTGCGGTTTAAGCGAGCTTTCAGAGCTGAACAATCGGGAGCGATGGATAAGATCGCAGGAGGATTGCACCATGACGGAAGCCTCCCACGCGGCGGCTGGGATCGCGAAGTCCTCAGGGCCGGAGAGACCCAGGCTGCGACAGAGAATGTCGATCTCCCCTTCGACGCTACCTCCTATCCGGAAACTTGTTTGGTCTGAGTACGCCACCGGTGAAAGGTCGAGAGAGGGGGTTACCAGCGATGGCGTCTCGTCCGACGAGGTCGACGCCCACGAAGCATCGTAGTCGATCTTCTTACTGGCGTTCCTCCGCTCCAGCTTCGGTCTGCGAACCGAAGCCACCTTCGAGTCTCGCCGGCGGTCGAACTTCTTGCTGACGAACGAGAACATCGGTCGCCCATTAGGGGGAAGGGGTTAGGGTTTGGGAGTGGATGGTTTCTTATCCTTTGTTTTGTCCATTGCAGGAAGAGGTGATTGAAACCTGAGGCGGAAGTCTCAGGGAAGACGAGAGAAAGGCAGTCCAAACATAGAGTGGAAAAATAAGAAATTGTATTATTGATACAGAGAACATGGTACAGGCGGTATTAAATAGAGAATGCATAGGTTAGATGGTAAATACAGGCAACATTGTATTTGAACGGTTCATAGCTCCCCTCAAATTAACAGTTCTGATTTTGAATTGTTAATTTGCGGCGAAGATCGTGGAACCGAGCTGGAGTAAAAGATTTAGTAAAAATGTCTGCTATTTGATCGGTTGAGGAGATGTGGTTGAGTTGAATGCCGCCGTTGTGTATGTGTTGTCGAATGAACTGATAGTCGATCTCAATATGTTTTGTTCGTGCGTGGAATACTGGATTTTTGGCCAAAGCAATGGCTGATATGTTGTCGCAGTAGATGATTGTTGGCTCCGGTTGTGCAGTTCCAAGCTCTTCAAGTAGTCGCCGAATCCAAATGACATCTGAGGTAGCTGCCGAGAGTGCCCGGTATTCGGCTTCGGTGGAGGATGTTTTTTATATCAGATATTGTTAAAAATCAATAACATTTGTTATGCTATCGGGATTTCTAGCTTGAATATCATACCACAAATAGGAAAAAATTTGGCTCAGCATGTCCTGAAAATTTTTTTTAATTAAATGAGTTTGAAATTTATTAAATATAATTTAATAAAAGAGAGTGGTTTAATGTTGAATTATATCTAATGTATTATATATATATATATATATATATCAAAGTAAATTGAAAAGTTTTCATTACTTTTTTTTAAGCAACATATCATGACATGGAGCATCCTGATCAACCTATTAGGGTTTGATTAAGTTAATTTCTAATCATAGAAGGGTATAATTTAGTGCATTGTTGTTGATAAGAATATAAAATATTCATGTATTATATTATATAGCCCCTTGAAATTTAGAAAAAAAAAATCATAATTATTTTCATTTGGGAAAATCTAAATTCAAAAATCATAAAGAATGATCTTTTTTTAAAAGCATCAAGTTGTTCAATATATCCCGTCCAATTTAGGAAAATGGCTATCTCGATCTCCAATCATTAATTGAATATAAGTGTTATTTTCATTTGGCTAGCTTTCTCGATCTCCAAGTTATCTTGTTCAACCCCTCCATTTAGAATAAGGATTATTTTGATCACTCAAATGCATATCAACTTTAGGTCAAGTAGTCCATCCCATTTCATTTAGCATAATTTCAATACTAAATATAGTCCTATATCTTAGCTTGTGGTTGCCTAGTTCTCACCCTCCATTCAAGATAATGATTCATCCGACCACCTCCAATCGTTAATTGAGCTTGGGTAATCTAGCCATCTCTTTTTATTTAAGAGAAATATTATCCTAAGCACCTTCAATCTCTTGCACACTCTGTTTCATCAAGTACATTCACTCTGTTCATGAGCACTTTTCGAACTATTCTCAATTTTCCTTCAATGTCATATCATTTGGTTCCCCCTTCCTATAAGAGAGGGGCTCTCTTTACTTCATTTGGTTGTTGACTTCATATTTTGAATGAGTTTGTTTTTACTTAGTCTTAACTATCATAGCCTAACCTTCCTCCATTCTTCATTACCTTAATATATTTAAGCTTATTTAAGCCTCATTAGGTGGACATTCCTTTTGGGTGCTCTTAGCTCCCTCTTGGCCTTAGCAAACTAAAGGCCCATTAGATTAGACCCTTTCATATTTCCATTTTTATCTTGAATAATTATTTGGGTATGCACACCCCATAAGGTTATCTCTAATCTATGATCTAGTTTTACCATTGACCATTATACATTTGCATCTATGGCCAAAATTTATCCTACGTTAACCCTATGTCAACCACATGTACTATTACTCTAGGTCATCTATTTAATGGTGTTGTTTTAAGTTTATATCTATTTTACGCCCTTGTGAACCGCTAAGCTCTAAGTCTAACCCAACTTAAGTGACTTAAACCTTGTTAGCTTAAATAGCTCTAGTTAACCTTAGGCAGTGGTTCACTCCCCTTAGGATAACAAGGCTTAACCTTTCCATTATGTTTTCTTTGACGAGCTCGAACTATCCCTTGTAACTTTACCCTCATGCTTTGTTTGAGACCGCTTTCTTACTAATTTATAAAACAATTTTTTATTATAAAAATTTCTAGTTCATAATTTTTTTGCTATGGAAAACTACTTTAAAAAACAGTAAGAAAGTCGTTCCAAATAAAGCCTTAGTTTCATGATATTGTGAGTTACCATTAACTCATATTGGGATGTTTAATTTAAGATAATCATTATTTTTAATCACTTAACATTGTCATCTATTTCAATACCTTTGGATTTTCTACGTGGCAAAAATGACTTTTTTAGTGTGAACATGACGACATTTTTGGAGTCGGCCCTTTTTTGGTGGGAGTTAGGAATCCTGAATTAAAAAAGACCGATTAATATAAAAAACAAAAATTAAATATAAATTAGTAAATTTACGGGAACATGACTTTCTGGGCCGGCACACTAATTAAACATGAGGAGATTATTTTTTTTACATTATTGAAAAGGACAATTTTGTAATATTTTATTTACAATTTCACCAACCAAACCTCCTTGCTTTGGTTGTGAGCAAGAAAAAGCTTTTTAAACCTCCTTCTCGGCTTCACCAAGATCATGCAGAAGTAGGGCTTTCGTTTCTTCTCCTCCCTCTAGCTATTACTTGAAATCACAAGAAGAACATAAACTTTTCGGTCGCTTCCTTCCCCAAGAATTGGAAACTGTTGTCTCACTCGCCTCCCTTGCTCTTGGCTTTGGCAAATTATTCTGGTGTCCGAATTCGTCCAGACATCAATCCAGACACGCCACGTCATCAAAATACACTGGGATCCAATGTATTCAGGTGATGTGGCGCGTCAGGATTGGTTGTCCGGTCGTCCAGTGACCGGACGTAATAATTCGCCCTTGACTTCGCTTGCAGGTCACGATTGTGCACTCGGTTCTCCACCTAGCCCTCGGTCTCACCTATTAACTTCATAAAGGCAAAAACAATAAACAAACCTATACCAATTGTATATACAAGACTATACAAGAGAGAAACATGTTAGATTAAAAAAAAAAAGGCAAGAATATGAAATTTAAAAACTAGTGCAAATTAATAAAATAACTAACAAATCAATATTTGATTTAAAAATTAATTAGCAATTTAATTAATAGATTTATGAATTTATATTTGTCGTCCATAGCATATTACAATTTTTATTTTTTCACATTTAATATCGTTGAACCATAACATTATGATTATTATTGTATATACAGCTCTAAATTAAATTTTTTGAGATTAGTAAAGTTGGTAAGGATAGTTTATTTGTTATTATCTAAGGAAGTAAGTGAGACAAACCTACTCAATAGTCATCTCGAGTTCGAGTCATTAATGAGCTCATATGACGAACTTATCAACTCACAAGCTACAACTAAGATTATAGATAATTTAATATATGATTAGACTTTCGAATTGATAAGAATTTGACACGTTGGCTTGCAAGCTAGCTAGATAAAACATCCAATGCTAAAATCTTAAATAAAGTTTCTACCCTCTCAATTAAATCATCATCTCTCATTCATAATTCAAAGGTAAACTCATAGATTAAAGTTCAAGTTGCACGTCTCACAAACTCTTCTTCTTCAAAGCCCATCGATATCATTGATGCCTTCTCCATAGAGCTGTCGTCATGCCTCCATATTCCATGCCTTCTCTAATTAGGTCACATCATGATGCATTTTACAACAAGCTACCACCGTTCTCGATGCCTTCTCTAGCCAGCAAACATCATGGTTTCAAATTTTTAGGTGAGGTCAAGCTCACGAGTCTAGCTGAAGCAAATTGTTGATCTAAAAAACCAACTTCAAGCTAAATAAAATAGAGTCATAGCTATCTTGAGCTCAACTTTGTTCGTTTACATCGCTATTGTTCTCTTATTTTTCTTTGATCAATGCCAACCCAATAAGCTTTATTAAAAAAAAGTTTTGAAGAGGCTAGAAATTACAGGAAATCTGACTATATACACACCTCATACTATGATAATTGGTCGACCATCCATAATTTTTTTGGAGAAATATGATTGAATGTTTCTTTTTGACGAAATTGCCCCTAACAAGAGAGAATCTCTTAGATTCCTGGAGTCAAAGTCCTTCAAAATTAGTTCACACTCATTAGAAATTGCTTTAAACTGTTTAGAAATTGGTTCAAATGACACAATCTATTGGTGCTTATTTCTTTCGTTGGGGAAATTAAGGGAAAAGAAATTTATGCGATCAGTAATTTGTGAAGAAGAAAATGAGTTTTGAAGTTCACTTGGGTGAAGCATTAACGGGACTGACGATGCCTGTAGAGATCGATAGAGCACTTCTTGATAGCGCTCGCTAGGGGAAGGTGTCGATATGTCTAAAGGAGAAGATGGGTCTATGTTGAGAGTAGGGGTGTCAATTTCGGGTCACAGGTCGAATCCGGAACTAACTCGGGTTCAAACGGGTCGACCCTAACCCGATCCGGGTAGACAAACGGGTCGAAAATCCGAACCCGAACCCGACCCAACAGGTTGCCGGGTTGACCTGACCCGACCCGATGTTGGGATCTACCGGTGATGGAACGCGCGCAACGTGAATGCATTTTAGTTATTTTAAAATCATTCAGTGCCGTCGTTTGATTCCAAAGATTAAAAAAATTATTTAAGAAACCCAATAATCCAATTTGTTTATCCATTGTGATTTTTTCTATCGTTCGAGGTCAATTGTGGGTTAGGATATTCTAATTAATATTTTAGTAAATTGAATTTAATATTATTTTAAATATGTCAATTTTTTTTAATGATTATATTTAAAATTTTAATAATTTATTACTTTATTATATATTTCATAATTATTTTTATTATTTTTTAATTTGTATGAGAAATTAAAATT